ATCTGCAGCATCGTTCTGAATAAACGCCTCCTTCAATGGGCAGCATCTGGCCTATGCTGCGTCTGCGGCTGGAAGGAAATGGGGGAGGTGGTGGTGGTGTTCATCACAGAGACTGGCTCACTTACTTACACACATGACGTCTCACGCTCTTGACAACTATCCACTTTTTAATAGCAGCGTTAAGTTCATTTTGGCAAGTCCCTTGTAAACGTGCAAGACTCCTGGCTCAGCGCCCACAACAGAGGAGTTTTGTTGCTGCTGGTCGGCATATTTTTTTTTTTCTGCTGAATTACTAGTTCAACCTTGACTCAGTGTCTAGGAAAAGATTTCTGGTACTCAGGGAAAACAGGCTTATTTGAGAAGGGAGAAATTGTTTTCTGTTCTTTCTGTGCTCAAAGACAGTGGTCCGAAAGAATCAGAGCCTGGTTAATGCCAAAGTCGCAGGAAGGCAAAAATCCAGAGGTCCAGCTAAATAAATTAACAAATAAAAATAAAAGGGAAGAGCTACATCATGCCCAGGGTATGTCCTAAGTATAAAGCTTTGTTTTCCTTCCTCACAGCCAACTGAGAGAGAAGCTCTTTACACAAGGCATAAGCACAAGTGTTTTTCTCCAGCATATGAAAAGATCTGGTGGACCCACACCAGGGAAGCTGGTGCTCCAAGCTGCCATCTCCTGGGAGGCTCCTGGGTGCAGGGACACTTCAGGAGGCGAGTGTCATGCAGGGTGCTTTAGTTTTTATATCATTTTGGCTTGCACTGAAACCCTCAGAACACAGTAGTGGAGCAGAAAGGCAGCAGGCCAACTTGCTATCAGTCCAGTGACACCTCTCTTAACGATCACCAACTGCCACTTGCAAACTTGGAGATGTTTTCTTCAGTGAAGAAACCAAGGGGATATTGAACTCATTTCACACTGACTGGCTGAGTAACCCTTCAACAGCTTTTAATCAGAGACAGTAATACATTCAGCGTGCGTGGCCTCAAGTAGCAGTAACAAAGAAACCTAAGAGGGTCTCTGTCGCAGTTTCCTTTTCTCGTGCTGGGTATCTGCGTGTTTACGTGCACGTGCATGGGCGGGAGATCACGGCAGCCCAGGTACACAAGAGTACACCAGGCTTTTCATAAAGATGCTGCAAAGAGCAGATAAAAAAGCCAGAAAGCCATAAGGTAACTGCGCGTTGGTTTACCCCTTGTGCAGGGTCTTTTAATTTACAGCTATCTACAAGAGCAGAGTCACATACCTGAGAGCCGTTATGCCCCAAAAAAGCAGCCTCCAATCTCACCTGCTTCTGGCTGTGGAAAACATGGGCAGGAGAAATAAATCCTGTCCTGATCAGAAGCAAAAGTCCATCTGTTTTTCCAGGAAAGCTTTGAGCACTGTTTCTTGTGTAGTTGTCCAGAACAGACACTTATGTTTAAATGTAACTATCCATGTATAGATTTCCCTAACCTACTGACCTTGTCACAGACCTCTTCTAATAAGACAGGATGGCAGCTCGCCTGTTAGGACACTTTCGCTTATTCAACTTTTTACCTGTTTTTTGTGCTCCTTTAAAAAAAAACAAAACTTCTATTTCTATGAAAGAGAAGCTGAACTGAAGATCAAAATGACGATTAGCATGTGTTGGACAGGTCTGGTGAATATACTTTCCTCTCTTTATGCACCTTTGGCCTTATTTTTTCACCAAGCTCCCCTACAAATTTTAACCACCAGAGCTGTATAAGATTTTGGGTGTCTATCTACCACATAGACCTCCATGGCATGAATGGTTGTTAGCACAGGGGGTTACGCTTATTTTTGTTTGACGACCATGCTTGTGCTCTGAAAATGTTTCTATCTCATTCTTAAGAATGATCGACAATCTGATAACGCTGACTGTCCCTGAGTACCAGGGCCTCCCAGCATCGAATATTCGCTATCGAATCCAGGCCTCCTATCCAGTCTACAGAAACCCAGCCATAGCTGACCAGGGAATACACAAGCACCAGCTTTAAAATTCAAAGCCAGAAAACAACTTCTGAATCTGTAGCAAGGAAAGGCTGGCCTTCCAAATGACTGCAGTGATATAAGGACCAATTGCAGCAGAAATATGGATGGTCTCCGTTACTTGCAGGAGAGGCCTGAAGAGGTCTTTGGCCCGGCCCAGGATAATGGCTGTCATTATGCTACATTAATTACTGCCATCTATATGAGGGAACACTTTACAGGATGAGGAAATCCTGTAAACACACCTTTAACTGTAAGCATTGCCTTGAAGAGCTCTCTTATAGAGGACTATACCCCCAAGCCAAGGCCCTAGACAGTAACTCATTGTCAGGCAGGAGGATTCAAAAGCAGAAAAAAAAAAGGCCAACAACTTGATTTTCCCTTCTTCTCTTCAGAATCCAAACTTAAGCACTGCAGAACTTGTTACTCTCATGTGGATTAGTACTGTTTCCCAGTGCAAAAAGCAGACAACCTAAAAAGTATGGCTTGGAAGATCACAGATATGTGACTGAGATTTGACTATACGTGTTAAGGAAAAGTGTCTTGATCTGGGGAGAGCATTAAATGAGCATGATCAAGGATGAGGTTCAGGTAATGCTGGCACTGAAGACCTGAAAAGAGAGCAAAATACGTATTACTGAAGCTGAGAGAAGATAGTAAGTGGGGAAGGAATTACGAATGCTGATCAAGGTAGTAGAATAATATCAATGTTAAGTGATAGAGATAGAAAAGTGCAACCCCTCCCCCCCAACTGAAATCCAGCTTGCTAAGAAAAAGTACGTCAAATTAAAACATTTAAACTACCCAAAATGCCTCTACTGAGGGGAATGCAGTGTGTAAACATAGGGTTGAAAAACATTTTAGCTATTGCAACTTTAAAAGTTACTACCGATCAGTTGAGCTTTTCTCATGTGATGATCAGTAAAACAGTATGTTAGACTGCCTTCATGGAGTAGTAGGCAAGTACTTGATTTTCAGCAGCAGGAACATTGATGGGTGGCAGCACAGAACAGGTCAATGGGCGAATGAAGATTAGACCTTAGGACACCCATTCTGTTATGAGTCAAAATCCAAAGTAAACCCATGTCAGCGGAACAACTCTGCAGGTAGCGCTGGCAGGAGGATTTCGCTTCCATCCCCACATTCCTGATTCTGTGCTTTAGCCACCACACTGAGGTGTCTTCGTAGATGCGGATGTTTTCAGGAGCTTTCCTGACAAGTCTTATTGGGGAAGCAGTTTTTGAAGGAGATAATGGCAAGGGAAAATCATTCCCTGTACAAGGGACAAGGATCTCTGACCTCCATTACTGCAATAAGCAATGGCATTTTCCTGAGAGCCAAGCAAGAGTGTTCGCTACTTCTGAAAAAAATCTCTGAGCTGTATTTCAATTACTTTTATCTTGGGTACAGCACTACTAAAAACCATCTTTCTGCAGAACAGGACCCTTCATAGGGCTGTGACAACAGAAAGCACTCGTCAGTACCCAGCTATGAAAGCAATTCCTTTTGCAGCTGTACTGGCTTCAAATCTTATTTAAAACCTTGGAACCCTGAATGTCCCATTTATTTGAAATTCGATACTTATTTCACCCTCAGTCTATGCCTATCGCTGCAGCTAAGAAAAGGGAGAATTAATTCAAAACCATGGGATTAGGAGTTAGCAAACACGGTTGCTGAATCCTGGAACATATACTATACTGTTAATTACCTCCCGTCGTATTTTAAAAAAACGAAACTATTGCTGGATAAGGTTTGTGGATAAATCCTTTGAGAAAAGCAAAAAGCACAAGGAACAGCTTCCTTTTGTGTTATCTGCCTCCAGGGTCTGGTTGCGAGAAGGCCGAAAGTTACATTGATTCCAATTTTTTCTGAAACGTTGCTATGAGACTGGCATCTCTGTTCAGATGTTCCTTTCAGTTGAGGAATGGCTACATTACGTTAAGAACAATTAAAATAAGCCAGACTCAGTATCAGTACAACCGTTTTCAGTCGCTCCTCCTTATCAGTTCTGCAATACTAATTTGCACAGACTTCTGTACTGGTTTAAAATCACACCTTTGAATTAACGTCTCATGAAGGTAAGTCCTCAGCTGGGTAGAGCTGTACTCAGTTTTCCACAAACAGAATAGGCAAAGGGAGAAGGTGGCGAAAAAGTGGCCAGCTTGGATCCAAAGAGCCAATTGGAAACAACAGGCTTATCTATTCCTAGGGCACCTCTTACTGGGCTTTCATTTGCATCAGGAAGCAATCTCAGAGCATGTGAACTGGCCTTTTTTTATTTTAATCTTCTGAACGCATGCATGAAACGAAAGGGGCACACTCTCAACTGGCACCAGGTATTCAGTCTGCGGGACTAGACCGGCACTAGTCCAAAATCCATGTGTTGCGTTGGTTTTACAGATCTGCTCCTGTTGCCCTACGTCACCTGCCAACGCAGATACTGCCAGCATACTACCTGTGCTGTAGTGCTTGCTGCCTGTGAAAACATTTCATTATCTTCTTGTTAACCTGCTACCGAGAGCGTTCCCAGTTCACCTCTCTCCGGCTTCCCACCTTTGCAGAAGACCCGTTGAAATCAGTCAGGCATACCAGTTAGCCTGCTTTTTGCTTGAGCAGCCAGTTGGCTTTGACTGCTCAGGAGTTTCCAGGTTACAAGGCCTGCCCTTGACAGCGCCGAAACAGGCTGAAGTTCGTGTGACGTTTTCCTGAGGAAGTTGCCACACCATCAGTCACGTTCTTCTACATTTCCATTGCTGCTGCTGGGATCAACCAAACCTCCCAGGTTAGTGCATTTCCCTTTTTGAACCATCCCGGAGCCAAAATCTTGTCGCATGGCAACACGATGCAAAGTATTTATTCGGTTATACAGAAAGCCTGTCTAAAGGCCATTTCAACTACACACACGTTCATTTTGGTGGAGAAGGAACAGAGAGAAAGAAAGGGAAAACGTTCACAGATCCCAGAACCCTTCTTCAACAGGGAGAATGGCTTTTCAATGAACCAAGCAGTATCTGGTTTTATCATTCATTTATTTAGCAAAGGAAAGAATGAATTCAAATACCCCACACAATGAACACATATCTATTCCCTGATATCAAGAATGCAGATTTGCCTGTGAACAATTTTAAATGAATCCGTTTTGTTACTACTGCAGTCGTCTTGTACTGTGCATGGACTGGTGCAGAAGCTATATATTTTGGGCTCAATCCTGTAAAAAATCACTAAAACAAGCAAGTTCTTTCATCTGTACCTTTGAACTCAGTGTGGTTACTTAAGCGGTGAGTAAAATCAGACTTGTGCTCAAGAGCCAACCCAGATTTCACCAACCTGAATTTAGGCATTTAAATAACAGTCAAAATTCAGAGTGTATAATTAGGCTCACTATATTGCCAGTGGAGAGACATAAGCCCTCTCCAGAGGTGACTCCGGCCATCTAAGAAGGATGTTCTCCTTGACTAGACAAGAGAGAAGGGTCCTATCTCCACTGGCCATAGAGGGTGCTGATGGCACCTACAATCCTAATTTGGCCAGATGCCCCAAGCAGAGTGAGATGAACACAGACCGAAGTGTTTACAGAATTGGATCTCATGCAGCAAAGCCATTATGCACACAATTAGCTTTAGGAAATGTGATTATGCTATGCTGATTTTAATAAAACTGGTCCCACATTCAGAGATAAAGAAGCGCACAAATATATTCTACATTTATGAGGCAAAAATCTTGAAACATTTGTTCTCATTAACATTTTCGTTGCACCTGGGACCGCTTACTTTCTCTTCTGGTTTGAACAGCCATGTGGTCTGATGATCTGAGAGCTCTTTTCATTTAATGTAAGTGCTTTGGTAGCTCTTGACTTGCATATTGACGTGGTATTCCTAGAGGTTAGCGTGGAATTCTGATAAAGCTAACTAAATATACGCTGTCCTATACCCGTCTGAGATTTTAATCAGTACTGCTTAACAGCACGGAAATCAAAGCCAACTCACCCCCACTCTTTTTGCTACTCTCATAGGAAAACCCTAACACTAGTCAGAAATCTCTGCAATAGTTTTGGCCAAACCACAATGCTCCAACAGCAGGTGAGTGCAACTGGCTGAAAGAGCTCCCAGCTAAAGTAACTGCATGACCATAAAGGTAATCAGATAGATACAAATCAAAGTACAACATAAATCTGCAAGCACAGGAATCGATTTTCTAAGCAACTGAGCAAAAGACTGTATGTATAGGACACTAAATTAAGTGTACTTAAGTACAGCAAAAAGTGTACTAACTTGGGTTATCTAGCGAAAAGGTACACTGCACAGGATCAGACTCTGAAATCTTGCTTTCTCTTCACTGCATGCAGCAGTGCTACACCAAAAGGAATGCCACAGGTGTATCCTGCAAATTTTGATCCATCTGGAAAAATGTTCGCGTTCAAAATAGAAACACAGTTTTAAATTAATGCAATCAGTGCAAAAGTGGTTTTGTAATATTAAATCCTGGCATCAGAGGTAATACATTTATTTACCCAGAACAGATCATTTTTCCCATGCAAAAAATACCTGCCTGCTAGTACCTCATGGCATTTAAAGGTTAAGGGAGTTGATTCTCCTTTCCCAAGAACAGAACAATGCTGTAAGAACTAAATTTTACTCTTGTACAAATCCAAGGGCCCTATCAGCTTAAGCAAGATTTGCATGCAAAGACTTGCACTTTGTTACATTTTTGGCAAAAGAAAACTAAGAGTTCTCATGCAGAAAACTACTTTGCCCCAAAATGTGTGTCAACCATTTTAGAAAAAATGCTAAACAAAATAAAGTGAAACCTAATAGAAACTGCACTTTGCATTGCCCCATATACTAGGAAAGGCTGTATCAAATCACCTGGGCAGCTGTGCTGAACTCAGAAGATGAAAATACTGATAATAGCACGCCTTAGGTACTTCTAAAATTATCTAAGATACAAAAATTTAATGGCTTGAAAACTTGCTGTCTCAGCATCTAGCTCGACAAGGAGATCCTGGGACCAATTTTTCTCATTGAAGTGATGCAAAATTTTCACATTTACTTTGAAGGAGTGTGAAAATCAGACCTAAAGCTGCTTTAGATAGAAGTTAGAAGTTTGAATATACCTCCGCCTGCAATTTAGAATAGCACAATTTAGGAAGTGAAATGACCAAAAACAAAAAACACACTTCTCTGACAAGTTGGTATGGTCTTTAAATGCCATCACATTGGAGTTAGTCAAAGAGCTGGGATGCCAGAAGCACTTCTTTGGGAGATGGAAGTGTGAGCAGAGTGGGCATCTGCTAAATGCCCTTAAACCTCTGACTGCGCAGACTTCACCTAGGGTATTATCACCACATATATAACATGTATCTAACATATGCACTTATCCTAAATGAAAGGAATGGAAAATAGATCACTGTATAGATAGGTGCACCTCAAAACTACTGAAGAGTTAAAAAAAAAAAAAAGCTAATTTCAGATGATTTTAATTAAAAAGATTAAAATAAAAATACACAGTTTAAATACTTTTAAAATATTGGACTCATAACTAATAGTCTAAGTATAAAATCCAGAAGCCAGACCAATGTGCTCTTAGTACAGTGGAAGAGAGGAACAGTACTCTGTGTGTGTGTGTGTGTGTGTGTGTGTGCACGCACCTGTGTTGTTTTTTCTTGGCAATGACAGCAATATAGTTTTTATTTTCTTTATACTTTTTAAACCTAAGATTTGTATCTTTTGGCATGAGCAGAGTGATTCAGATACCATGCTGGTTATCATTGGGAGAGCTTTTTCCTTCTCTATCCGTTCCACTGAATTTCCTTGCAGAATAAATTCCCTCTTACCCGAGGGCAACTGACATATCACGTAATTTCTTCCTGGAAAAACAAATCTAACGTACAGTCAAACAATCACAAACTATACAGAACCAGCCTTACCATACTTTTTTGAGGTGAACTGCTGTGAGGGTGGGAGCTCTCTTTTGACACAGTTTACAGCAACAGGGCCAACTGCTCACTTGGAAAAATTGGGGAGCTGCTCTCAATTACTTTCGTAGATCGTAAATGTGAGTTCATTTCACTCTACAGCTTTTCAAAGACCACCTGCTTCGCATTCTTTCTCATTTTACTGCAGAACAGAGATATCTACGTTCAGATCCATCCCCATTCAAAAATGTTGCTCGTTACCATAGTTCGATATGGTGTTTACCCTTGCTATGTAAATTGCTGGATCACCAAAGCGACGCTCAGATGCCGTCTCACATTACCAATGTTCCTTGGTACTTTTTGCATAGTTTTTTTTTTTTACATAATTTAGAATTATTATAATTTCTATGAATTTTTCCATTATTTGCCTATCATAGTATAACCTAATGATCACAGGCTGTAAAGTGGAAACATTCCCACTCCGCTTCTCCTTGCATACCTTCCTGATATTCTGTTGTGATGATCTTTGTATCGAGTATGTTCAAAAAACAGAAAGCCCAATTCTTTAAGCCTTAATATTCTTTTTTAATTTCTCTTCACAAGTTTCTGAGAGTAGCAAATGCCACTTTACTAATAAATACTCTGTAAAATCTGGCCCAAATCCTTGCCCTTTCCTCTTAATTGTACATCTGGAATTTCAGTTCCAAAAATAATAATGTCATGGACGTGGATGAAGACTGATAGAATAAAGTAAAATGGTACAAAAATGTGAAGATCCTTTATGTTTCTTCACCTGCCACTAGAAAAGGAATTAAAATTGATAATTTAAAACTTAACCAGTACTTCAAATATTTACATCAATAAGGTCCAACAAGATATTCACTTAAAACGCCTGCACAACGTTCCCCCAAGGGCAGATTAGTTTGGATCAGACACAGCAGTAAGAGGAGACAATGATTTGCAAATGCATACGCATTTTCTGATTTTGCTTGATTTTGTCGAAAACATACATATGAAGTCAAAGCTGGAAAGAGAAAAGCAGTTCTATGATTACGTGTCTACATACCCCAGAGAGCTTGAGACAGTACACAAAATACAGTGCAGTTGCATCTTCCACTGACTGTGAGTGTTGCAGCAGACCAGACAAGTGGACTCCATATGCACGCACCAAGGAGCAGAAGCCTCTGGACCACCAGGGCTCATCTAAATCTGCACGCTACAGTAACCCTGGCTTGCCAACCACAGGCAGAAACATTCCAGTGTGCCTTTCCTATCTGCCCTCCTTCGCCTCAAAACCACGCCAAAAATTAAAGGAAACAAGATGTAGGCTTTATGTCACTTGGCTTGCCTCGAAACTGGAAACCACAAACCCTGTAGGTTTTGCGTTTCGTTACAAGATCGTATCACTCGGTATGTCCTTATTCTTCACGCAGCTGAACAGCTCGATGATTTAGAGTCCAGAAAGACTAGCTCTGGAGAGTGGGGAGCTGCTACAGAACATCACTGAACAAGCACATTTCTTCTTGTCATTTTTCTCAATACTCTGCGAGCTGTTTTTGGTGGTATGAGTTTCAGGGAGACTCCACAGAGGGCTCCATTGCTAACTCACGGAAATCAAAAGGTAATGCCCAAAATAAAATTCAATTTGCATTCCTGGCACAGTTTCAGAGGGTAACAGATTGTTTTTCTAAAAGCTTTGAAATTAGTTAGCCCCTCGTTAGAGAAATCTGTCTGAACGCTTATGAAACTGAGTGAAGTGATGTCTCCCTCATGAGTGGTTCAGAAACACTTAGGGGCTACAGCTGCACCCTACACTGAAGGCCAACCTGCAAAGAAAACATCAGGTCACAAACAGGTGTTTGGGGTTTTTGGCAGCAATGGGACACTTGATGGCTTGGATTGTGCTTGAAATGTCTCTGAACTTCATCTCTGAAGCCTCAATCACATGAGCAGTCATGTAGCATAGGCCTTAGGGACTGGGGAGTTACAGAAGGCCAGGAAATACACAAGCCCATTAGTATTCATCATAATTATTGAAATCTGTAAAATAGGTATTAGAATAAGTCTTTGCAGTAAGATGTGGATTGAAATATTTGTTTCTTTCCTCCAGAATCAGGTTGTTTTTGTTAAATGCCTGGAAAAAAAGAAGAAAAATAAGAAAATGGGATGAAGGAAAGATAGCGACTCAGTACTAGTTCCTTAAGACAATTCCTGTGGCAAATATTTGTGAATTGTAAGTCAGTCAAAAATGCATCCAGAAATACCTGCACATTTGCAAAAACTTGCATTTGTATGTGTCTGCTCATAAATAACGTTCTTACAAAAAGCAATGCTACTCAATAGAGTATGGCTATGCACTTTTCCCCCCAATATTTAAAGACTCTACATACTTTTTAATCGTATCTATTCAGTTCTTCCATTATTAGAATGATTCACTCACTATATATTTACTAAGAACTATTTTCTCTTTACTGTATCAGTGTATGTAGGAATATGTAGGAGAAATGTCTGAATGTTTTAAGAGTGTAAATCCTGTTTTTTTAAGTGGTATTTAGGTATCTAGAGTAAGATTTTTAAAAGATAGCTTGTTCTTGCATGGATCCAGAGAGATGCTTAGTGGGGTTTGAAAAAGCTTTAAGTTAAGTACATATCCCCCCATAGGTGACAAAATCTAGGCTTTTCTTACCATTTCTAATGAAATTTCTTAAAATGTCTTTAATTAGCAAGAAAAATGCAGAAAATAAAAACTGCATTCTCTAGTTAGGATTTATGATGCTCACTTACAAAAAGCTTTGCAGCTGCATGAACAAACTGCATAATCTGAAGATACTAAGCCTCATATTTTCAGAATGCCCAGCCTTCCTTAATTCAGTGGATCTAAAAAGCTGAGCTACTCTAAAAGGTCATAAAAAGAAAATAGATTTTCAGGAACAGCGGTCATGTAATGCAGATATCATGCCAGACTCTCAGCCAAAGTATATCTGTACTGCTAATTTACAGAATATTCTGGGTATGAACAGCACCTGATAATGTGACCTAGTATATTCACCAGATAAATCTCCCATATAAAGACATAGCGTAGGAAGGCAAACTGTGCCCTTGACGCTATACCATTTGAGCCAAAGGATTATCTTCAATATATGTCATGATGATTGTTAATGGCCCTATTTCCTTCTTCCACTAGCTGCTAGGGAACACAATTATAAGAAAAAAACAAACTTGAATAGTGGTCTGCTTTCTTTCAGGAAAGGTTGCTGCTGCATAAATTACACAAAAAAATCTAACTTCCTAGGCCATAAGGATTGACAAAGGAAAGGATCTGTAATTATGATACTTCAAGTGAAATCTCCTTTTGTTGTTCAGAATCAGCATAATCTGAGTCCAAATGCCATTGCAGAAAACTAGTAAGTAGAATTATTTTGAAACAGTGTAACTGTCCTACAGGACCCTAAATGTTGTGCATTATAGAGCTCCCAACCCATTTCTCACCTTGATAGCTTCTACAGAATCATATTTGTCCAGTTTGTTGATATGGTTGGTGATGCTGGTATTTAGAGGAGCTGCTGATACGGGATGGATGACAGTTGCATCATGGGACTGTTGCTGATAACGTTGGCAATAGGTGTAAACAAGCAGGGTAAGAAGGCAACCAAGGATAGAGCTACTTAATCCCACTGCGATCATGTGAAACATGTTGAACTCTGCACAGTGGACAGCAGAAGACAATCTTATTTTTCAGGAAGTAACAACAAAAGCTTACGCTTCAGAAAAAAATGTGGGGCAGTAGCTTGATTCAAATGAGAATAAGAGAAACTTTGTGAGTTTCTCAGAAATGTCTCAATTCCAAAGGTTTATCCCTACAGTAGCAAATGCTCTTTACTTCCCTGCAGGGATCATTATGAGACTCTCAGAAACCCAAACATCTCCACAAGTATTAACACTGAGATTTTTGAAAGATGCTTAACAAAGAACCCAAATAAGACAAATGATTTGCATTTTCTAAGTGTTTGAAAGCTCAGCTAACTTTCTTTGTGCACAACATAACCTGTTATATATAAATTGTGTATATAATGTACATACACGGTTTGTTTTCAGTGAACTACAGCATCTCCTTCTCTGCTGTTCTTCTAGTTCTTTCTTGTACTCAGTGACTTGTGGCAGAACAAACAAAACCCTCAAGTCTTTAAATCGCAAGTCCTGCTTTCCCTAAAATGTTTTCAGTATTGTCTTTATTTGGTGCATGCCCCCAGCCCAATGGCATACTTCTTTTCCATCCCCCGCTTTGTCTCACTGCTTCTTTATCTTTGATGCATGGCCAGTTTGTTCACTTCTCCAATCTTCAGAATTTTTTTGTATGTGTAAGGGGAGTGTGTGGAAGGAAAGGCAGCATTTAAAGGGAAAACGGGGAGAAGAGAGACTTCTCAGGAGTCTCTCTCGGGATACCTTTAACCATATCAACCAGTGAGTGCAAAGTAAACAGTTGGGGCTGCAGCACTGTTCACCTGGGACTCTCCTATCTGTTCTCCCCTTGGAAGATACTATGGGAAACTCTCACCACCTGCGCAAGAAGTTAAAACTAAGAAGAAAGCTCAGTGCTGCATGAAATTGCAGAAGGGAATCTAAAAGACAGTCATCCATCCCATGATGTCATCGAGAGGTGAGAGAGAGCAAGTCATACATGACACAGATATGATTAGTTGGAATAAACTGCATTGCTTTGCACCGTTTTTTCAAATTGAAGCTGCCTTGCTGGATGAAGGAAGAAGCATCAGTGAGGAGCTCAAGCTGGAATTTTCATATTAACATTAGTGAAAATTTGCATGTGGCTGCCTGCACGCACAAATGAAGTATTTTAAACTGAAAGACTGGCACTAGTCTGAAAAATACTTGTTAGGCCTTTGGCGCTGAAATGCAGAAAAGGGTTCAGCATAAGGGTTCCACTTTTGGCAACCGCCTACATGAGAATTTTTACACGCCTACTGGGAATTTAGGAACATAAAAGAAGATAGAGGTGATTATTACGCACACTGCCCTAATATGTAAAACGTCACTGAAATATCCTTCTACACTTTTACAAAAGTTGTTGTGGAACTTGGCAAAATGTTTTCAGAGCTCCACTTCTAATTAGGAAACAATCAAATCACATTATCCTGATAACGGGAGAATAATGCATTGCCATGCATATCCCTTCATAACCCCTGTGATTTCATTGTCCTTTATTAGATTTACCTGTGCATGGAAGAATACTGGAACCAGCCAGAGTTATTACCATGATCACATAGACTAAGATGATAGCTCAACACACACACACACACACAAAATAGTTATCTTTCTCTTCTGTTTGTTTTAATTATTGTGGGTTTTTTTTTCTTGTTTTCAACAATTCAGTTTCCCCTTTTGGGATTTGTTTTGCTAGCATCAGAACGCTCTAGAACAGAATCTTTTTAGTTCTGCCTTTGGCAGCCAGGCTGAAAATGAGCTACAATGGATCACAGTCTGATCCATTAAATGGATTAGCAGGCTGGCTCTCTGCTATTCATTTGGAGTCCCAAAGAGGTTTGCGAAATTATCATCTTGCAAAAGGTGCAGCAACTTTACAGATTTTGACCTGCCCATAACTAGCTTATAATAGCAATTTCTTTTCGAGGAAAAAAGGGTGACTGACATAAGGGAAAAGAAGAAAATAAAACCATCCAGTAACACAAGCTCTTGTCTCAAAGGCTGGCAACGGCAGCTGGATGTTTAATGAGGAATCTTGTAGTGACTACATCTCTTTTTCCAGGCAAGTGTAAATAATGAGAATGTGGCATTTAGACTGTGGAATAAAACTACGAGAGTGCAAAAGGTGAAACAAATGGAAACAAGGGGGAATCAGTAATTCAGCATTTAATACATAGATAGGACAGAAATGTAAAGCTTACCGCCACATCGTTTCTCCTCTATGCTGCTGGATCGTGCCACTGTTATTTCTAGAAAAGTAAATAAAGTGGTTATGCCATGGAGGTAAAATACTGCAGACAGCTACTAATTTCATTAACAGAATAAGGATTTCAAAATGTATTCTACTGTGTTTACTCCAAGTCAGAACTATGTAAAAAGGATTTTCACTCTGTGGTGGAATTAAGAGAAAGGTGCCACGGCATCCTCAGGTTTCTCAGTTTCCCAAGTAAACGCAGTAACATATTTTTCATTCTTGCCTCAAAACATCTCTGAACTTAAACAGAACATTTGCAAAGGAACATATTTGTGTGGGGTTTCTTTCGTAGCAAAGAACATGTTGAGAAGGTGCTGCATATCTGAATGGTAAAATTAATGTAAGTTTCATCCTTTTGCTCAGAGTTGCAATGGACTCACTACTTCTGGGAGTCACATGTATTACTAATATGAAAAGACAGAATTTAAAAAACTTCACAAAAGACGACTGCCAGTTTCATGAGTTCTGACTGTACACTAATAAATCGTGACTCCAGTCTGTGTCCTGGCCATTCTGATTTTGGAAGTGTTCTGCATAAATATTCAAAAAAATGTGTTGACAGTCAAGGTGTCCCACACTGCTATTTCGGGACCATGCCTTCCGTGAAGGAAAGTCCTGCTTTACAAATCTCTTGAAACTCTCCGAAAAGGTCAATGATCATGCGAATATGGGTGAGGAAACTGATGCGGTCTACCTGGATTTTCTAAGAAGTCCCTTGTCTAAGGCTTCCAAAGAAACAAAGGAGCCCTGAGACATGAAGGAGCAGATAGGGAACAGGCAGTAGTACTGTGTGATCCGTTCTTACAGTGGATAAAGGTTACCAGTTCTGCAGGGACCTATACTGTTAAACGGATTTATAAAAGAAAAGGAAACCGATATGGGGTTGAAGTTTGCCGATGATACAAAGTTACTAGAGGTATCGTGGACAAGGGCATGCTGTGAAGAGCTGCGGAAGGACCTTACAAAACTAATCAATAAAATAATAAATGGGACAGAATGTAAATTTGTGTAAAGTGATTCACAGGGTAGAAAAAAATCCTAGCGTTGCATACAGAAAAATGGGCTGCGAACTGACGGTTACCACTCATGAGAGAGATCTTGGGGTTATGACAGATTGTTCCATGAAAATATCGGCTGAGTGTTCAGAAGCAATCAAAAAGGCAAAGCAAATGCCAGGAATTACCAAGAAAGCAACAGTGAATAAAACAGGAAAATAGCGCTTTATAAATCCATGGGTTGTCCACGCCTTGAACACCGTGTGCAGTTCTGGTTTCCCCATCTCAAGAATGCCTCTAGCAGAACTAAAAAGAGTTCAGAGAAGGGCAGCAATGATGGACACCGGTATGCAATGGCTTCTATATGAGAAAAGACAGAGTAGGCTGGACTTCTCCATCTGAAAAAGAAACAGTTTAATGGGGTCTGATACCAAATCACGTGTGGCAGGAGAAAGTAGATAGGGATCAATGGTATGCTGTTTCTTCTAGTACAAAACCTAAGGGCTATCAAACAAAGCTATTAAAAGCTAGGATCAAGAAAAAAGATAAAAAGAAAAGAGCAGATTGCTTTTCATGAAATGAAACCCCACTGCCAAAAGATGATGCAAGAAGATGCAAGAGATGCAAGAAACCTAGGCAAGTACTTTGAGCGAGAACCACTTCAGGGTGTTAAACAGACAAACCACATCAGTCTTAAGCACTCTCCTGAACTGAAAGCAGCTGAAGGCTAGGACACTATAGGAAGGGGAGGGAAGATTGTCATGGGCTTGCACAGTTCCTGTTATTCCCTAGCCATCATGGCTATTGTTGGAGGGAGGAAACTGGACAGGACAAACTCCTGTTCTGAACCAGTGTGGCCATTCTGATGGTTTTTTATGAAAATTAAAAATGTGTGATAATGGAAATTAATGAGATAGTCTCCTGCTGTAAGAATACATGGAAAGTAAGGGTTTCAAACTTTTTCTGTCTAAGCAGCTCCAAAATCTGAATCTGCATCCACTCAGTGAAACAAACCCTTGTAGTATGATTCTGGGGGCGTCAGAAGTGATAAAGAAGGCCTGATGGGAAAATAGGAGAGAAGCAAACGCTGTATTAGTGGTTCTGGCTTAAAAATTAATCGTTTGTCCTGCTTGAGTTACCTGCTGAAGGATACTTTAGCATATTACCAGATGTGAAATAAAGCGCTATGACTTTTGCATATCTAACATACCACAGACTATTTCTGCTAAAGTTGGTCACAAGGGTTTACCCTTCTTCAGCTGCTAAATCCATACAAACTAATTTCAAAGCGAGGAAGTATCAGATCTGACAAAATAGCACTATTACAAACAGTTACAGGCTAGGAGACAGTTAATTCGCAGTCCAAACAAAAAGCAGAAAAAAACGCATCCGAAGACAGTGAGGTTCTACAAGGTCACGTTAACAAGGATTAACTCTGGAAACACAGCAGCAGCAATGGTGAGGATTAGTTTTTTGCATTCTGCCAGAATCATTCTATATACAGGAAGTTCTGTGGAAGAACAGAGCGAAAGTAAGTAGTAGGAGGAGGAGAGAACGTGAGGGTGGACGTGCTGGCACGCTAGCTGAGGAAAGGAGTGATGTGAACTGGAAAAAAGAAAAGTTGGGACAGAAGGAACTCTTGAGTGTGAAGACCATTATTTAATAGAGGAGTGAAAGTGAGCTGAAAGATCCCAAGAAGAAAGCTAGTTTGCCCAACGTGAGTGGAAGGACATGCCTTTACTTTCTGTGGCATGGGTAATTTGAAGGGGAGCGGCAAAGAAATCAGAAGGCGCAGAGAAGAGGTGGCTGTTGCTTATTCACCTAACATTCCTCCTTTCAGTTTCTGAAAATGCATACTTTCCACAACAAGATGCAGAGCTTATATTGGATTAAGCACAGCATTTGCAGAATGTGAGTATTAACGAAGCTGCTTCGAAACACCGAGTAAAAGGGGAAAACACAATGTGGGAGTTTTTGCTTTTACACTGACTTCTTTCACATTACTTTTGGAGAATAAAATAGTATTTGTGAGATAAAAGAACTTATTCCCATTGTCTATGTACCAGCCATAAAAGCACTGTTTATATTTGCTGATTTCTTGGCTATATTGCACTGAATTGTACAGCATGGTCACCGAGAAAAAGGTTGCTGCACTGAGTAAACACAATTATATTTCAAATGCTCCATGAAGATGCCAATTCTTCTGTCTGTGAATAGTCTGCTGTCTTTTTCTATGTACTCAGATGGAAAGATGATTGCCAGCAGGAA